CAAACCAAAGAAGTGGTGAAATCTTTTCCAGACAGAATGCTGCTTCTTCTCCCCTGCAGCATTCTCCTCGCAGACTTTAGCCTCTTCCTCAAGGTCTGGATCCTGGGAAATAGCAGGGCTCTCCTCTTCCACAAGTCCTGGATCCTGTAAACCAGCAGAGGGCTCCTCCACTAGTCCTGGATCCTGTGAAACAGCAGAGGATTTCTCCTCCACACATTCTGGGTCCGGTGAAGTAGCAGAGTACCCCTCTGCCACAAGTCCTGGGTCCTGTGAAACAGCACAGGACTCCTCCTCCATCTGCTGACACACCTGGTCCACCAGCTCTTCCTCAGGCTTGAACTTAGCAACAAGCTCAGAGTTTCTTGAGGTCTGTTCATGTAGTTGGACTTTGAGGTCTTCCAACTCCACACGCAGAGATTTCTCCCTCTCAGAGGCCTCTTGCAAGAGTATGCTCTCCTGCTCCTTGAGGTCTTGGTCATGTAGGTGGACTTTGAGGTCTTCCAACTCCATGTGCAGAGATTTCTCCCTCTCAGAGGCCTCCTTAACAGCATCCTTTTCCCGCTGAAGTTGAATTTTCAGCTCCTCAAACTGGTTGACAAGAGCCACCCTGTCTGTCCAGCCGGAATAAATGGAAAAGAGAGACCTTGTCCAGTAGTAGGGGGACAAGGGATCAGTCAGGTCAGAAGCCATTGTGTTTAGCTGTCTGACTAATCTAAATCCTCTATGAATCTACAAATGTTTTACGAATGTTTTACCAATCTACGAATCTTCTACCTCACGATGGTGGAAGTGTAAAATGCAATGACTTTATCTCAGAACCTTGTGAAGTATATAGACCTGCTGATGACATCACAAAGGGAATACAGTGTGGCTTTGATGTTCAAAGTACCGGAATTTTCCTGTTGCCCCGCCCCCTCTCTCCCCCATAGTTACCGTTGCTATGTCCACGAGCATTCCATTCTAGGCTGTAAATATTAATATCAAACATGGAGCTTGATCTTAATATTTACCTTCGGTCTTTATTCTTTTATTTAAACGTGAACCACAAACCTTTTGTGCCGCTCTCTCCCCTTTTTTCTACGTTAATTTGCCCCCCAAAAATACTAAAATAAATAAATAATACTGTGAAATATTACACTGAATGCAAGAGGTAATGATGATTTTTACTTTTATGATGCCTGGCGTTGGGAGAGCGTTGCATAATGAAAGACTGAAAGGCACAGCTGGCATCTTCTATCGAGTACGCTGTCGAGTGTCACATAAGCAGAGCTTTATCCCCCCCACACACACCCACACACCCACACCCACAATGCCGCTGGGCTGTTTGATTGGCAGCTCTGATGATGAGGAGTAGATGAGATGCAGCTCCGGCGTTATGAAGACCTGATGTTGATCCTTGTTACTGATGTCTGATGTTGTTACTGAGTCCCACTGTGAGGACATATAAAGGAGGTTAACTGAGGCTAACCAAAGCTAACTCCTTTACATATATCTGACATCAGGAGAGCAGGAAGTGTTCATCATGATGAAGATATTGCTATTTTTATCATTTGTTGTTATAGAATACATATGTTGTTATGGCATCAATAAGATACCTACTCTAAAACTGGCCTTATTAAAGTTAATTGCAGAAATTATTGAAGGATTCAAGTTTGTTTTATTGTCATGTTACAATGCAAGGTTGTAGAATGAAAAGAAAAAAAATAATGAAATAATTTGTATGATGAGTTGTTGAGGAAGAATTTAACAGTCACAGCCTGAGGGAAGAAGCTGTCTTTAAGTTTGGCAGCAGGAGCTCCTGCACCTCTTCCCAGAATGCAGCAGGGTGAAAAGGCTGTGGCTGGGGTGGCTGGGTGCTGTCTTTAAGTGTCCTTTTGGCTCTGCAGGCACCTCACCTCACTGATATCCCTGAAGCCAATGATCTTCTGGGTGGTTTTAATCACCCGCTGCAGAGTCCACCTGTCCTGGGCCGTGCACATCCCATGACCAAGGGTGGAGACTGACTTACTTGCATGTAAACAAGGGAGTGTGTCTTTGCCTCCTTTTTATTAAAATCAACAGTCAGCTCTTTGGTTTTGCTGACGTTGAGCAGCAGGTTGTTTTCTGTGCAGCACACTTCCCTCCGATAAGAAGTCTTATCATTGTTTGAAATCCGGCTGAGGATCTGCAAACTTCCCAACCGAGTTGTCTCCATGGCGGGGGATGCAGCAGCAGCAGCAGTACAAGTAGTAGTAGTAGTAGTAATAGTAGTAGTAGTAGCACTAGTAGTAGAAGTAGCACTAGTCAGGGCCGGCCCAAGGCATAAGCGAACTAAGCAGCTCCTCAGGGCCCCGTGACCACTAGGGGGCCCCCAAGAGCAATTAACTTAAAAAAAGAAAAATGTAATTAATTATTTTTTTCCATGTGTGAGTGATGATGATTCATATATTATCAAATGTATAAAAGGCTTCTGGGAGACTTTGCAAAGTCAGAAACATTCAGAGAGATGAAGAACAGAAAGTCTTAAGTTTCTACATTTCCTTAATCAGTCCACAGGGAGATGGAACCTATACTTACTCCACCTCATCTCTTCCTCACAGTTTCACAAAGACAGGTGTGTCCACACCATGTTTTGCATGATTTTAAAGCATCACTGCTCCTCAGAGTTTAAGTTCTGATGTCACAGAGAGTCTGAACGGTTTTCATGCACTCACTCTGAAAACTGCATCAGGATGAAGTTGCCAATAACTCTGTTTGTCATGTTGGGTTTTCTGAGTCAGGGTGAGAAGGTTTTATACAATTTATCAAAAACTGTTAAATTGTTATTTTCAGTGTAAATATCACTTACCTTGCCTTTTACCTTAAATCTGTTTTAATCAATGACTATTCATTTATCATAATCTGAACTGCTGATTCTAAAGATTTATATTTCATTTTTCATTTCAGAGTCTTCTGCAAACAATTTTCTGACTCAGACTGACAAATCCAAGTCTGTTAGTCCTGGAGGGACTGTGACCATCAGCGCCACAGGGAGTTCAAATATTGGTGCTGATCTCAGTTGGTACCTTCAGAAACCTGGACAGGCTCCCACTCTTCTTATATACTCTACATCAGACCTCTTCTCAGGAACTCCATCTCGATTCAGTGGCAGTAGCTCTGGTTCTCACTACACTCTGACCATCAGTGGTGTTGAGGCTGAAGATGCTGGAGATTATTACTGTCTGGGCAACCATGGTGGTGGAGTGTTCACACAGTGATTTAGAGCCGTACAAAAACCTCCTTCAGTTTGACTGAAGAGAAATCGGCTTGCTGCAGGTGCAGAGGGTTGGTGAAAAGACTGTGAAGAGGATGACTGGTCCAGTGTGCACAACACAAAAGTAACCAAGCAGAACCACAATGAATCTAAATAAAACTGAAACAAAATGCAGCTTTAAGTTGAATATAAATGATCAAATAATGTATTTTCCCACAAAAAGTCCTAGTAGAATATATCCACTGACAGTAACAAATGTTCAAAAGTAGTTTTGCATTTAGCAGCACAAAACAATCTACTGTAATAGTAACATTAAAATTATTCAAATGATTTATTTACAAATGGAAAATATATTAGACTATATTTCACAGTATTATTATAGAAAGTTTAATGTAGTAAATAGAAACCTGAGTATATGATGAAGTGTGCAGGAAAGATGAAACGTGATAAAGTGTGTGTTTCCAATGAATAATGTTTTGCAAAAGAAATACAAAGTCAGTTATTTATTAAAATCTACAATTTTATTTTCCAATGATTCAGTTATTATTTGACATTTTAAAAATAACAGCTTTTAAGCAGAATACGAGTAACAGAAAGCTACAAATGAAAGCAGAGTCATGAGTTTGCAGAAATATGTGAACAGAGGAGATCTGCAGCTTCATCAAGATCTCTATCAAAGAAGCAGCATCATTTCCAGACAGGAAGTGTTGCTGAAGCTCTACTCTGAGCAGCGGTCAGGGTCCAGGGTTTGAGTGACAGGGCTCTGTCCACTCAGACTGGCCTCACAGCTCACTGAGCCCGCCTTCCTCCACTGGTCTGCAGATAGGCTCAGGGTGCTGCTCCAGCTGTAGTGGCCGTCCCTCCCCAGGACCTCCAGGCTGTGTGACACCCCTGAGGAGCTGCTGCTGCCCCCCACCTTCCAGCCCAGACTCCAGGTTGAGGGGAAGCCCCCGCTGGCCAGACACACCAGTGTGGCACCGTCCTTCTGCAGCTCCTCTCTGGAGGGGGGGAGGACGGTCAGGGTGGGACGCACCACACCCACTGGAGGAGAGAGGGGGGAGGAGGAGAGGGGAGGGGGGAAGGAGAAAGTAATAAGAGTGAAGGCTTGGTAACAAATACAAACTACATACTAGTAATTTTCTATATTTGATCCAATAAAACAGAATAACTTGTGCTGCTGTTGCTCTCATAAATCACTCAGTATCAGACCATCAGACACATGATTCAAGTGTAAATGCAACTAAAAAGGTTAATTGATGATGACTATTGATGACATCTTCATCTGTGTTTGTGTTTGACAGTGAATAACTCATCCGTGTGATGATTTTCTTCTGTTTAAGCTGACAGAGCTGAAACACTCATGTGAATACAGTTAAAACCTTTGTCATCTGTCTCTTTCACTTCCTTTTCACTACATGTAAAATGAATGAACCGTGAACACAAAGATAAGCTGCATTTAATGATAAGATCATGTTCATGTTCAACAGGAATCACATTTTGAAAAAAACTGTTTTAATTTTAATGAATGAAATTAATGAATGAAATTGTTTTCAGTTAAACCATTTCTTTTTTGTTTCTGTAAATTTTTAATGTTAAATAAATTTTGGTTTCTGAGGTTTACTCTCAGATGGTGAGATCAGCCTTATTTGCTAAAATAACACAAATAATCAGCAACATACAAACACTGAACCTCTCAGAGTCTCATTCAATATTTAATAATAGTTTTATTTGCTATATGTTGTATGAAATAAAAATCTCTGGTACTTACAGTCAACGATGAGTTTGGTTCCTCCACCAAAAGTCAACCACAGTGATACAAACTCATTAAGTGGCCCTACAAAAACCTCCTGCACTGTGAACAAGCATCTATCCACTGAAAACACTCTCTGATCTTACTAATAACACAGAAAGAATAAACTTTATTGAATCTACAAAACCTTTTTAGTGATATGGATTGAAATTTTTGTATAAATAAAGATTATTCTTTACTTTTCTACACCTGACAGAGAAATTATCACAGTTTCTCACAGTTTTATATCAGTTCGTGAATGATTTATTAAACATGATGTTTTTAATAATATTTTTCTACAAAAACATATTAAACAGAACTGAAATGTGTTATTTATCTACAGTAAACAATGTAAGTAAATTAAGAGACAGACAGACATATCATACCAACCACAGTGGACACAAATTTATCCTTAAATCCTCAACTGCACTTCTAATATAAACATTTCCTTGTATTCCATTAAGATCATAGAGGGTGTAAATCCAAGCAGTATTTCTCCTGATTTTGTGTCCCACGTTGCCTTCAGTGTATTGAGAGCAGAGAAATCATTTCCATAGAGAGGAGGCTTTGCATCGTCAGCTGATCCTCCAGTGAACTGAGAAGGTTTATAGTCCTGTGAGTTCAACACTGCAGGACTCAGATCTGTCAGTCAACACAGCAGAAACCACAACCACCATGACTCTCATCACCATCCTCATCTGGACGCTGGCCTGCTGCTGTTTTACAGGTTCATTCACTCAGCAACATTTCAAACATGATGTGCTGCCTTTTCTCTCATTTCTTTCTGCTGATAAATGAATGATTTGTTTTTGTCTGCAGGATGCAGCGGTCAGGTGACTGTGACTCAGCCTCCAGTAAAGACATCTACTCCAGGATCCACTGTCACTATCAGCTGTAAAACAAACCAAGATGTTTTCAGAGACAGTGCTGGAGATTGGTTGCACTGGTATCAACAGAAATCTGGACAGCCTCCAAAGCTCCTAATAAGACTTGTCAACACACGTGAATCAGGAACACCAGCTCGGTTTAGTGGCAGTGGAAGCAGCTCTGACTTCACTTTGACCATCAGTGGAGTTCAGACTGAAGATGCAGCAGTTTATTACTGTCAGAGTTACCACAGTGGTGGTGTGTTCACACAGTGATTTGTCGTCGTACAAAAACCTCCCTCAGTCAGACTGCAGAGACACTGAGCTGTTACAGCAGGAACCGACTGCAGCTGCTGAAGAGGAAGAGACTCTGACACAGACCACTGAACACAGAGCTGACAGTAACTTCACCAAGCACAAACTACACATTAAATTTACAAAAATATTTGTATAACATAGTTTTTTTTAAATGTAAATACACATACTGACACACTTTAAACATTCAGTGTTAAGAATTTGTTACCTGATCACATATTCTGAAAATTGATTGTTCATTCTTCCCTTTTACATATTACTATATATTTTTTAAGTAAATTAGAAATTGAAACAACAGTGATGTTAATATTTATATTACCAATTGAAAGCTTTTTACAGACTTTCCTGTCCTAACTGATTCTGCCACCCCCACCAGTTTTTCCTCTCACCTGAACTTCCCCACCCATCTCCATACCTGCCTCTCATTCCCCTCATCAGTCACTCATTCATATACCGGTCCAGCTCCACTTGCTCCCTGCCAGATTTTCCAATGTGTCGGTTCTTGCTTTCCAGTGATTCCCTGCCTCTCTGACTCTGCCTGCCTGACTACTAGTTTAAAGATTCTTTAGCTCTTTGCTTTTGTCTGCCTTATTAGGTTTTTTTTAATTAATTAATCAAAGATTCTTTCTGCCTCTGAAGTTGTGTTTTTGGGTTCAACCCTGTCTGTGATTTCTAGGATGCTTTCTGGGCCCTAATTGACACCCAAGTATAGGGCAATAATGTCACTGTGTTAGATAACATGAAATCATTTGTCTTTGATTCACTATTTGGGGGAAAAAGGGAATATATAAATTTGTTGATGAGATTATAAAATATTCTCCTTATGTGGTGTGACAATAATGCTTTATGGCTATTTTTCCCCCCATATTTTCATCAAATGTGCAAGTCCAGTTTGCGGCCAAAGGGAAGAGCTAACTTTCTTTTACACATTGGGTTTTGATCAGGTCAGAAAGAAACAGAAAAAAGTATTAATATCATTTTTACACGTTTGCAATGATGCTAATAGTAATACTAACTTTAGCAAAGTTAACTGACAGAAAATACTTGTGTTAATGTTTTTTGTCCACTAAAAAAAGAACTATCACTACCCAAACATCACTCTAAACTAGAAAATGTAAAAAGCAACCGTGTCAAGTTGTTAACAGCAACCAACTATCAGCTAGCTTAGATGCCAGTCAGTTGATCATCATACTTTCATAATAAGAATATGTTTTAAATGCCTTAGTGGAATGAATAACCAGGAGAACCAGGCTGTTAATAGTCAGGCCCTCAATGAGGTCTTGTCTCAGCATCAAGACATCTCTGCAGTTTGCCACAGAGATGGCAGACTAGCGTTTTATAACCTGTAAAATGATAAGGGGCAGGACGACTATATACCAATCTAGTTCTGACTAAATTCTGAATGTACATTGCAGCTTTAACAGAGAAGGACTTATGATACTCATAAAAGAGAGCCACCATAGGAGAGCAAGTACCGATATTACAGCCAAGGTATCAAGCTCCTCTCTATGTTGCGGACAACTTCACATATGGTGTTTCTAAGGTTGCCAAAAGTGGCGCTCAGCGGACTGAGTCTGGGTGTCGGGATGAAGCCAATATCTTCCCCTTAGGACAGAGACTCACTCTCCGAGTCAGAGATGGCGAGAGACAACAGTGACCAATAAAGCTGAAAGGTAGGATGTCAATCACATTTACAGACATGGTCAGATTAATCACTAACTTAGAAAGCTTACAGAGCAGCAGCAGCAATACGGATGTAGGGCAACAGCGGCATTGACAGAGTAGAGGGAGAGCTGGGAAACTGTGCAGTTTAAATAGCCCGCCAGATGGGAAGGGTGTGATTGGTTAGTGATTATGGAGTGAGGCATGTCATGTGTCTTTATCAGTGCAGCACGAGTTGACTGCCTGAACTAGCTCGCAGGCGTCGCTCCATTAGTTACTGAATGTTGGAGCTAGTTGTGGTGTAACTGATGTTAACTACTTTATATTGCTCAGTAGTTTAATCGATACTTTTGCATCCTATTTTCTAAGATGATTATATGATGGAAAATCTTAAACTCAGAAGAATTCATAACAGACTGAGAGAGAGAGAGAGAGAGAGAGAGAGAGAGAGAGAGAGAGAGAGAGATATACACTAATAGTAGTGACTGATGATGAAGATGAAGAAGATGATGACGACGACGACAACAACGATGGAGGACAATGAGCAGTGATTATAGTAATAAAAGTATCTGTAGTAATAATAATAGTAATAATAATAACAATAATATCAGTGATATTAGCAATGGCAGTCAAGCAGGACCATGGCAGGAGGCTCCACCAGGATCCATGAAAACCTGCGAGACGAGAAAGCACAAGAACTCTGGGGAAGAAGTGAAGTTAGTAACATGCATTAATGGGACATGAATGAGTGCATAAAGAGAGAGGAAGAGATGAGCTCAGTGCATTATGGGAAATCCCCCGATAGCCTAGGCCTAGAGCAGCATAACTAAGGGATGGTTCAGGACTCACCTGAGCCAGCCCTGACTATAAGCTTTATCAAAGTAACTTGTGAGTATAGCCATCAAATAAATGTAGTGGAGTAAAAGGAGTTGTAGAGCACTTGAGTAAATGTAGCTAGGTTACCTTAGGTTCCATGTTTTTTTAGTAAGAGTAAAAATGTTGTAGTGTCCTCATATCTGATGATGGCCTGGTGTTTGCTGAAGAGAGAGACATGCTGTATAGTTATAATGTTCTAATGTTACAAAAACCCTCACTCAAGATCCACTAGTTTTCTCCAGAACTTTAAACCACATCTCATGGTCTTTCTCTGCAGACTGAATTAGTCACTATATATATATAGTGTAGTTTGTATATTATGAGTAAGACTATACTAATAGTATAAATCCTATGTTAACATAGGCATTAAGCCAAATTGTAGGATTCAGGATACATTTTGTAGGTTGTAAAACATCCTCTCATGTTAAGTCACAAATGACCAAATTCATAAATAAACAGATGAATGAATTAACTTTTCTTAAAATTGTATCAGTTGGTATAAAATCTTCAAAGAAAAAAGAAAAATATCTAATATACTGTTTGTTTGGAAAGCATTCTATTTGAAAACTATGTCAGCTGAAGGTCCATTTAGTAGCTGTTTTGTACCTTTTAATCACACCACATGATCTTCATCAGCATTTGGAGTATCCTCAGTTTTAATGGTACATGTTGAAATTGCAGGATTTTCTGAGCACTTTAAGAACTTTAATTGTTTATGATGGCTAATAAGTTGAGAATGAAAAAATAGATTGATATCAACATCAGTCTGATAGGGCCTAAAAACTATTGATGTACTCTCTGGCAAATTAGGGTTAAGTTACATTCATGGTGTCTGTTTACAGTTTATCTGTCCAAACATCCTGGAAAGCCAGCAAAGGGCAGCCTCCATTTATTTATGAGCACAAAGGCTTCTGGGAGACTTTGCAAAGTCAGAAACATTCAGAGAGATGAAGAACAGAAAGTCTAAAGTTTCTACATTTGCTTAATCAGTCCACAGGGAGATGGAACCTATACTTATTCCACCTCATCTCTTCCTAACAGTTTGACAAAGACAGGTGTGTCCACATATGTTTTGCATGATTTTAAAGCATCACTGCTCCTCAGAGTTTAAGTTCTGATGTCACAGAGAGTCTGAACTGTTTTCATGCACTCACACTGAAACTGAATCAGGATGAAGTTGCCAATAACTCTGTTTGTCATGTTGGGTTTTCTGAGTCAGGGTGAGAAGTTTTTATACAATTTATCAAAAACTGTTCAATTGTTATTTTCAGTGTAAATATCACTTTGCCTTTTACCTGAAATCTGTCTTTAATCAATGACTATTAATTTATTATAATCTGAACTGCTGATTCTCAAGATTTATATTATATTTTTCATTTCAGAGTCTTCTGCAAACCAATTTTTGACTCAGACTGACAAATCCAAGTCTGTTAGTCCTGGAGGGACTGTGACCATCAGCGCCACAGGGAGTTCAGATATTGATAAAGCTCTCAGTTGGTACCTTCAGAAACCTGGACAGGCTCCCAAACTTCTTATATACTTTGAATCAATTCCAAACTCTCGATTCAGTGGCAGTAGCTCTGATTCTCACTACACTCTGACCATCAGTGGTGTTGAGGCTGAAGATGCTGGGGATTATTATTGTCTGGGCTACCATAATGATGGAACATTCACACAGTGATTTAGAGCCGTACAAAAACCTCCTTCAGTTTGACTGAAGTGAAATCGGCCTGCTGCAGGTGCAGAGGGTTGGTGAAGAGACTGTGAAGAGGATAACTGCAGTGAACACAACAGTCATCAAACAGAACCAATATGAATCTAAATAAAACTGAAACTAATTCCAAAATGCAGCTTTAAGTTGAATATAAATCATTAAATAATGTATTTTCCCACAAGAAGTCCTATTAGAATATATCCACTGACAGTAACAAATGTTCAAAAGTCGTTTTGCATTTAGCAGCACAAAATAATCTACTGTAATAGTAACAATAAAATAATTCAGATGATTTATTTACAAATGATAAATATATTAGGCTTTATATTTCATACTATTATTATAGAAAATGTAAAGTAGTGACTAGAAACCTGAGTTTATGATGAAGTGTGCAGGAAAGATGAAATATGATAAAGTGTGTGTTTCTCATGAATAATGTTTTGCAAAAGAACTACAAAGTCAGTTATTTATTAAAATCTACAGTTTTATTTTCCAATGATTCAGTTATTATGTGACATTTAAAAAATAACAGCTTTCAAGCAAAAAAAACAAAAAAAGAGTAACAGAAAGCTACAAATGAAAGCAGAGTCATGAGTTTGAGTTTCCAGACAGGAAGTGTTGCTGAAGCTCTACTCTGAGCAGCAGTCAGGGTCCAGGGTTTGAGTGACAGGGCTCTGTTATTTATTAAAATCTAATCTAACCTCACAAAGCACAAACTACACATTCACATTTAGATATTGATTATATGTTTTTCTTGGTATTGTACATAAAAACATATTTTAAAACATCATCTTCTGTATACCGTCAGAAATACAGAAAAATGTTACCTGATCAGATTTTCCCAAAATAGATTGTTCATGTTTTCTTAATCAGGACATAAACATGCATTCTTACTTTTCAATATATTGTTATATCATTCAGTGTATCAGTATTAGTCGATTTGATAAAACCACTTAATTTCTTTCTACTCTTCATAAAATAAAAGAACCAACACTTCATAGAGTTATTTATCAGTTCAAGCTTTATTAGCAAAAACATCAATCATCAACATGACAGTTATTAAGCACACTCACATCTAGCTGCTGAGCTACACACATTACTCTCTAAGTTGTTGTTGTCCAACACTTTACAGCAGTGTTGTTCTCTGTCACACAAAGCTTTACTTTCCTCTACAAACATTAAAACTCATATTGATCAGAGCAGCAGGTTTGTTCCTCCTGCTCCCCCCACACAGAGCTCCTGTCCTGGGCTTCAGGGAGCCCCTCTAGCCCTCACACTGGCTCCTGTGGAGGGACTGGGTCTGGCTGTGGTCATGATGGAGGACCTTGCAGGAGTACAGCTCTCCTTTCATCCAGCGCTCCTGGCTCAGGCTCAGGGTGCTGCTGCTGCTGTAGCGTCCGCTCTTCTCCTCCTCTGAGCTGGTCTGGACCCCCTCTGTCACCTCCGTACCGTCCACCTCCCAGCTCACCACGGCTCCCTGAGGAGAGTAGCCGGTCAGCAGGCAGGCCAGCGTGGCCGAGCCCCCAGAGAGCTGCTCAGAGGAGGGGGGAAGCAGAGAGACTGAGGGCCTGACCATGGGGCCCGCTGGAGGGGAGAGCAGAGACACACAAGGAGCAGATTAACTTCCTCTGTAGGACAGACAGCTGAACATGAGACACTTATGATACATGACAGAGGTTAACACTGCTGTGGATTAGCTGTGTGCACGATACTGTGATCAGACAGAGGAGAGGAGGTGAGACATGGGAGGAAATGAGGCTTTAACAAATAAAACTTGATTTAATTTTGACATTTAATATAATAGGTCATCTACTATGGCACTGAGAATTGGACAGTAAAATCCAACACGACTCATTTGTAAATGTAATAGAAATTTGTAATGATGATCCTTAAATTAGATTTTAACATCAATGTGTGACAGTTAATAATTCATCTCTGCAATGATCTTCTTTTTTTAAAAACATAATGTCTGTATTCAGTTAAAGACTTTGTCATCTGTCTGTTTCACTTCCTTTTCACCATTTTAAACTAACGAACTGTGAACACAAACTGCAGCTACACTGTACGTACAAAGAAACTCACTTATGTGTTGCAAAAGCATTCACATCAGATTTTATACCTAACATTTTTTTAATGTTGAAATAATAAACTTGAAATATTTATGTTTCCTGAAATGTTAAAATGTTGCTCAGACAAATTTTACAATCAGATATGTTAATATTTTACAGCTAAATAGATTAAATTCTATTTTTCTATTAAATCTTTGTGTCATAATAACATGTATAATACTAAAAGAACATTAATCTCTGTATTTATGCCTAAATGTGATGTTAGCTACGCTTGGTAGATAACAGAAAATATCCCGAAAATATAAAATATCCACATTAATTTTTTGTTTTATCACATGACGTTTTTCAATATGCAGTGTAATCTGTCATGTTGTATAAAATAAAAATCTCTGTTACTTACAGTGTATGATGAGTTTGGTTCCTCCACCAAAAGTGTACCACAGTGATACAAACTCACTAAGTGGCCGTACAAAAACCTCCTGCACTGTGAACAAGCATCTATCCACTGAAAAGACTCTCTGATCTTACTAATAACACAGAAAGAATATAATTTATTAAATTTACAATGTTTTTCTAATTATATGGATTGAAATTATTGTACAATTGAAGGTTCTTTCTTTTATTTTGCTTTACTTTTCTATACCTGACAAAGAAATGATAACAGTCACCTTGTCATTTTTTTCATAGTTTTATATCAGTTAATCAATGGTTAAATTAAAATTATATTTTTAAATATTTTTTTTTTCAAATTCATATGAAGCAAAACTGAAATGTGTTATTCATCTTCAGTAAACAATGTAAGTAAATTAAAGGCAGACAAACAGACATATCATACCAACCACAGTGGACACAAACTCATCTTTTAATCCTCAACTGCACTTCTAATATAATCTATATGTATTTCATTAAGATCATAGATGGTGTAAATCCAAACAGTATTTCTCCTGATTTTGTGTCCCACGTTGCCTTCAGTGTGTTGAGAGCAGAGAAATCATTTCCATAGAGAGGAGGCTTTGCATCGTCAGCTGATCCTCCAGTGAACTGAGAAGGTTTATAGTCCTGTGAGTTCAACACTGCAGGACTCAGATCTGTCAGTCAACACAGCAGAAACCACAACCACCATGACTCTCATCACCATCCTCATCTGGACGCTGGCCTGCTGCTGTTTTACAGGTTCATTCACTCAGCAACATTTCAAACATGATGTGCTGCCTTTTCTCTCATTTCTTTCTGCTGATAAATGAATGATTTGTTTTTGTCTGCAGGATGCAGCGGTCAGGTGACTGTGACTCAGCCTCCAGTAAAGACATTTACTCCAGGATCCACTGTCACTATCAGCTGTAAAATTAGCGAACCTGTTTACATCTGTAATGGAGTTGATATATGTATATTCTGGTACCAGCAGAAATCTGGACAGCCTCCAAAGCTCTTAATAAATCACAGGAGCAGACGTTATTCAGGAACACCAGCTCGGTTTAGTGGCAGTGGAAGCAGCTCTGATTTTACTTTGACCATCAGTGGAGTTCAGACTGAAGATGCAGCAGTTTATTACTGTCAGAGTGTCCATAGTGGTGGTGTGTTCACACAGTGATTTGTCGTCGTACAAAAACCTCCCTCAGTCAGACTGCAGAGACACTGAGCTGTTACAGCAGGAACCGACTGCAGCTGCTGAAGAGGAAGAGACTCTGACACAGACCACTGAACACAGAGCTGACAGTAACCTCACCAAGCACAAACTACACATTCATAGTAATAAATAAAATAATAGGTAAAATATATTTTTTTATATAATGACACATCATGTCCTGCTCATATTTACTTTCAAAATTAGAAACAATATATGTTTACTGATCACATTATTAGAAAATTGATTTTTCATGTGGTATTCATTATATGTTCTTAGAATATTACTATAACATTTTGATGTAATTATCAATTAAAAAAATGATGATTATAATATTTACATGATTAATCCAATGCTATTAGTATCAAGTGAAGTTACGAGCCTACCCTGGTACACACTATCTTTCATGTTTTTTTCCTTGTGTTTAGCTGATGTATCACTAACTCCTGTCTTTACTGATCCTGCCTTCCAGGTTTCCTCTCACCTGATCTTCACCCTCACCCCTATCTCCACACCTGCCTCTCATTCCCCTCATCAGTCACTCATTCATATACCGACCCAGCTCACCTTGCTCTCTGCCAGATCGCTTCATGTCTTGCTTTCCAGTGATTCCTCTTGCCTTACCTCTTTGCTTTTGTCTCCCTGATCTTTCTGTGTTTGGAATCCTGACTGTTTCTTGGGATTTACTATTTAAGTATGGACATTACCTTACTGCCTCTGAAGTCGTGTTTTTGGGTTCAATACTGTCCGTCTTTCCTGGGCCCTTACTCTGGGGCCTAATTGACCCCAAAGTGAGGTCAATAATGTCACTGTTTAGGATAACATACATTTCTTTCTCTGTGATTGACTTTTTGGCAAACATTGAAATATACATTTGTTGATGAAATTATGAAATATTTCCTTATTTGGTGTGATAATGTTTAATGAGCATTTATGAATTTTTGTCCAACAGCAAATTAAAAGTTAACACTTAAAAGTTTTTTTCAGGCCTTTCAACTGAATCTCATGGTCACACTCTGCAGAGGGAATTAGTTATATTATAGTGTAGTATAATCTATAAAGTATAAATGAGAAATATATGAACTTTTAGAATTAGAATTGTTAGTATTCTGTTAAATGTGGGTTGTAAAACTTCAAATAATTTAAAGTCACCAGGAAACTAATTGATCAAATAAACAGATGAATAAATAATATATTAATTTTTAATTGTATCAGTCGGTATATAATTTTGAAACAAAAAGCAAACAGAAATGGAACGAAGCCTGTGAGCTAGTTCAGGCAGTCAACTCGAGCTGTGCTGATAAACACACATGACATGCCTCACTCCATAATCACTAACCAAGCGCACCCTTCCAATCTGGCGGTCTATTTAAACTGCACAATTTCCCAGCTCTCCCTCTGCTCTGTCAATGCCGCTGTTGCCCTGCATCAGTATTGCTGCTCCTCCTCTGTAAGCCCCACCACCACCCCAGCATCCACCTGTAGGCTCCGACTGGGGGTTAAGGTATTTTCTCATCACTCCCCAATATCTCTATGTAAACATATCTGCGGGGAATGATGAGGTCGGAGCCTAGACGCCAAAATCTAAATATGCTATACTGCTGTAATAAACATTTCAAATGTGAGTTGGCTGACTGAAGTATAAATATAAACAAATCTTCAGTTTACAAAAAATATCTACTATGGATTTTTTTGTTTTAAAAGCAGTGTACTTGTAGTTCTAAATTACTTCACTTCATGGTCCATTTAGTAGCTGTTATGGACCTTTTGATTGCATCACATGATCTTCATCAGCTTATGAAGTTGCATATTCAACTGAATACATGGAGGCTTATGAATGCCAATGGCAACTAGGAGTGTAAGAAGACTTTTTTTCAGAGGAATTTCTTAAAATAAAAGCCTGGAAACACTGATGTTAAGTTACATTCATGGTCTCTGTTTATAGTTTATTTGTCCCAATATCACGGCTGAAACAGGTCGAACAGAATGATAATTATTAATCGAAATAGTTTAGGACCAAATACAAAATCAATCTCAGGTATGAAGTTGTTCTTATGAACCTGGAATACCATCAGAGGGCAGCCTGCATCTATTTATGAGCACAAAGGCTTCTGGGAGACTTTGCAAAGTCAGAAACATTCAGAGAGATGAAGAACAGAAAGTCTAAAGTTTCTACATTTGCTTAATCAGTCCACAGGGAGATGGAACCTATACTTACTCCACCTCATCTCTTCCTCACAGTTTGACAAAGACAGGTGTGTCCACATATGTTTTGCATGATTTTAAAGCATCACTGCTCCTCAGAGTTTAAGTTCTGATGTCACAGAGAGTCTGAACTGTTTTCATGCACTCACACTGAAAACTGCATCAGGATGAAGTTGCCAATAACTCTGTTTTGTCATGTTGGGTTTTCTGAGTCAGGGTGAGAAGTTTTTATACAATTTATCAAAAACTGTTAAATTGTTATTTTCAGTGTAAATATCACTTACCTTGCATTTTACCTCAAATCTTGTTTTAATCAATGACTATTAATTTATTATAATCTAAACAGCTGATTCTTAAAATTTATATTTCATTTTTCATTTCAGAGTCTTCTGCAAACAATTTTCTGACTCAGACTGACAAATCCAAGTCTGTTAGTCCTGGAGGGACTGTGACCATCAGCGCCACAGGGAGTACAAATATTGGTGCTGATCTCAGTTGGTACCTTCAGAAACCTGGACAGGCTCCCAACCTTCTTATATACCGGGCATCAACTCTAAACTCGGGAACTCCGTCTCGATTCAGTGGCAGTAGATCTGGTTCTCACTACACTCTGACCATCAGTGGTTTTCAGGCTGAAGATGCTGGAGATTATTACTGTCTGGGCTTCCATGGTAGTGGAGTGTTCACACAGTGATTTAGAGCCGTACAAAAACCTCCTTCAGTTTGAGTGAAGTGAAATCGGCCTGCTGCAGGTGCAGAGGGTTGGTGAAGAGACTGTGAAGAGGAAAACTGGTCCAGTGCACACAACACAAAAGTAACCAAGCAGAACCACAATGAATCTAATTAAAACTGAAACAAACTCAGTTTCCAAAATGTCCAACAGTATTTCCACAAACTCTTTTGCATTTGGCGGCATAAAAAACTACTGTAACTTAAAAAATATTCTACTGATTTATTTACAAATGATAAACACATTAGATTTTATATTTCACACTATTATTACAGATATGTAGTGACTAGAAACCTTAGTTTATGATGAAGTGTGCAGGAAAGATGAAATGTGATAAAGTGTGTGTTTCTCATGAATTATGTTTTGCAAAAGAAATACAAAGTCAGTTATTTATTAAAATCTACACTTTTATTTTCCAATGATTCAGTTATTATTTGACATTTTAAAAATAACAGCTTTGAAGCAGAATACGAGTAACAGAAAGCTACAAAGGAAAGCAGAGTCATGAGTTTGCAGAAATATGTGAATAGAGGAGATCTGCAGCTTCATCAAGATCTCTATCAAAGAAGCAGCATCATTTCCAGACAGGAAGTGTTGCTGAAGCTCTACTCTGAGCAGCGGTCTGGGTCCAGGGTTTGAGTGACAGGGCTCTGTCCACTCAGACTGGCCTCACAGCTCACGGAGCCCGCCTTCCTCCACTGGTCTGCAGAGAGGCTCAGGGTGCTGCTCCAGCTGTAGTGGCCGTCCCTCCCCAGGACCTCCAGGCTGTGTGACACCCCTGAGGAGCTGCTGCTGCCCCCCACCTTCCAGCCCAGACTCCAGGTTGAGGGGAAGCCCCCGCTGGCCAGACACACCAGTGTGGCACTGTCCTTCTGCAGCTCCTCTCTGGAGGGGGGGAGGAGGGTCAGGGTGGGACGCACCACACCCACTGGAGGAGAGGAGGGGGGAGGAGAGGGGGAGAAAAGAGAAAGTAATAAGAGTGAAGGCTTGGTAACAAATACAAACTACATACTAGTAATTTTCTATATATAATCAAATAAAACAGAATAACTTGTGCTGCTGTTGCACTCATAAATCACTCAGTATCAGACCATCAGACACATGATTCAAGTGTAAATGCAACTAAAAAGGTTAATTGATGATGACTATTGATGACATCTTCATCTGTGTTTTATAATGTGTGACAGTGAATAACTCATCCCTGTGATGATTTTCTTCTGTTTAAACTGACAGAGCTGAAACACTCATGTGAATACAGTTAAAACCTTTGTCATCTGTCTCTTTCACTTCCTTTTCACTACATGTAAAATGAATGAACCGTGAACACAAAGATAAGCTGCATTCAACGATAAGATCATGTTCATGTTCAACAGGAATCACATTTTAAAACAGTTTTAATGTTAATTAATGAAATTAATCAATCCATTTTTTTCAGTTAAACAATTTCTATTTTGTTTCTGTACATTTTTAATGTTAAATAAATGTTGGTTTCTGTGAGGTTTACTCTCAGATGGTGAGATCAGCCTTATTTGCTAAAATAACACAAATAATCAGCAACATACAAACACTGAACTGATCAGAGTCTCATTCAATATTTGACAATAGTTATATTTTCAATATGTTGTATAAAATAAAAATCTCTGGTACTTACAGTCAACGATGAGTTTGGTTCCTCCACCAAAAGTCCACCACAGTGATACAAACTCATTAAGTGGCCGTACAAAAACCTCCTGCACTGTGAACAAGCGTCTATCCACTGAAAACACTCTCTGATCTTACTAAGAACACTGAAAGAATTAACTTTATTGTATCTACAAAGTTTTTGTAATCATATGGATTAAAAGGATTGTATAATTTAAGGTTCTTTCTTTAATTTTGCTTTACTTTTCTACACTTGACAGAGAAATGATTATAGTCACCTTGTAACAAAGTCATTTTTTCACAGTTTTATATCAGTCGAGAAATGGCTCAAGGCACATCATGTTTTTAAGTAATAATATTTTACAAAATCATTTTGAATAGTACTGAAATACATAATTTATCTACAGTAAACAATGTAAGTAAATTAAAGGCAGACAAACAGACATATCATACCAACCACAGTGGACACAAACTTATCCTTAAATCCTCAACTGCACTTCTATAATAAATATTTCCTTGTATTTCATTAAGATCATAGATGGTATAAATCCAAGCAGTATTTCTCCTGATTTTGTGTCCCACGTTGCCTTCAGTGTGTTGAGAGCAGAGAAATCATTTCCATAGAGAGGAGGCTTTGCATTGTCAGCTGATCCTCCAGTGAACTGAGAAGGTTTATAGTCCTGTGAGTTCAACACTGCAGGACTCAGATCTGTCAGTCAACACAGCAGAAACCACAACCACCATGAGTCTCATCACCATCCTCATCTGGACGCTGGCCTGCTGCTGTTTTACAGGTTCATTCACTCAGCAACATTTCAAACATGATGTGCTGCCTTTTCTCTCATTTCTTTCTGCTGATAAATGAATGATTTGTTTTTGTCTGCAGGATGCAGCGGTCAGGTGACTGTGACTCAGCCTCCGGTAAAGACATTTACTCCAGGATCCACTGTCACTATCAGCTGTAAAACCAACCAAGCTGTTTACAGTCACAGTCTTTATGGAGATTATTTGCACTGGTATCAACAGAAATCTGGACAGCCTCCAAAGCTCCTAATAAAACTTGTCAGCACACGTGAATCAGGAACACCAGCTCGGTTTAGTGGCAGTGGAAGCAGCTCTGACTTCACTTTGACCATCAGTGGAGTTCAGACTGAAGATGCAGCAGTTTATTACTGTCAGAGTTACCACAGTGGTGGTGTGTTCACACAGTGATTTGTCGTCGTACAAAAACCTCCCTCAGTCAGACTGCAGAGACACTGAGCTGTTACAGCAGGAACCGACTGCAGCTGCTGAAGAGGAAGAGACTCTGACACAGACCACTGAACACAGAGCTGACATGTTTTTTTTTTGTCACATGTGTCATTATTCACAGCAACGAGTAAATTATTAGATTTCATGACGGTTCCAATGTGAAACTGTCAAATAAAGTAGACGATGAGGTGAATAAAATCTGAATAATAAAAAGAGTAGACAATACAACTCCACATGTTAAAAATAATTTTATACAAAAAAGCAGAATTAACCTATACTGACAAATATCACTGAAGGTGACGAGGTGTATGCAACTGTACATGGATGCTCAAAAATGCTTTATAGGAACAAGAAAGCATGCATTTTTTATATATAGTATATTCAAAGACAGCAATTTATTCAAATCTATTATCTATCTATGCCATCTTAAAAATATTTGAGTATTTCTCCTCTATATTTCACTGGAGTATTCATTTATTTATTTATGTATTTATTATATTATATTATATTATATTATATTATATTATTATTCTCATTATTATTATTACTTTTTAATAGCTGTAGTTATGTCTTATGATAGGTGTCATAATATTTATAGATACTATTAATATTAAAATTATATATATAATATTGACTGACTGGGGTCATTCTGCTTTGGTCAATAATACTTCAAAACTTTCTACCGGAGGTTTTTACAGCAAATGAACTGAATAGGCCAAGGCTCTACCTTCCAAACCTCTACAAATCTGTAATAAAAAAACTCTTATTAAGCAGTTATTTCGCTTAAATTCACAAGAGGGCAGCATTGATCCGATTTTGATTTTGCGAACAGGTATTGAAAGTGTAATTCCTGTCGACACAGGTGAACGTTTAAGTCAATTTGAATAATATTAAGCAACACTGCACATCATTCACAGGATGTCAGGTCTTGTGCAGCGTCCACTCCTCTACCTCAGAGACCACAACAGTGCTGAGTCCACTTCCAACCACTTAATCCCTCTAAAACAAAGCTGTTGCGTTGCCAAACCAGAGATGTTTCCGCGTTCTTTATTGGGGAAGTTGATCTTTTGGCCATCGCGGAAGGAAAGACGCACTAGTCTGCAGCGCTCTACAAAAAACAGATTGTATTTTCTTTATAAAAAAAAAAAGGTGTCATGATTCAGTTGTTATTGCGCCATATTCATGTTTGCGCACTTGTAGGTTGCGGCGATTACTGCGCGCTCGTTCCTCGCTGCTCTTAAAATGAGTGATCGGAGTAGAAACGCTTTAAAAACAATACTTCAGCTGGTCTGTCAACTTCTGTGGGTATGTAAAACTGTATCAGTGTTTGCTGCATTGTCTGCATTTTGCACTGTGTTTGTATTCTGCCACTAAACATCATGAAGTTACCATCTATGCCAGTTCTCATTATATTATTTATGTTTAAAACAATAGAACAGAGCTACAACAATACACTCCTAATGTTTTGTAAAAATATATTGCCCTCTATAATATACATGTACTTTTGAGTCTCATGTGTCACATGTCATGTGACACAAGAGTGGATGTGAGCGCGTGACAGGAACTAAGTATAAACACTGCGCACACCTGAAGATGAAGATGAATTTAACGACCTAACTTGATTTGATTTGAATAATTAACTATATTGTTGTTTTTTGGGCTACTTTTCTGGAATGTGTTTCTTTTTTGTGATTTACTCTTTTTGTCATGCAGTTCAGTTTAAGGCATGTTCTTTGAGTTTTTGGATAAGGTCAGTAACATAAAATAAATAAAAGGGCACACAGGTTAAGGGCAGTAGGAGAGATCAACTCTCTCATGTCCATGATTGCTTGATCCTCAGTTTAACCACTAAAAAACATTGAAATATGAAGCTTACAATCTCCCATTTTGGTTGGTTTCTCATTATATGCCAAAAAAAACCAAAAAAAACAGGAAAGAGGCTTCAAATATTGTCCTGAAAGCATGATCTGCTATTTGAACTTGCAAATAAACACCAATACTGTCTCACACTGTCTGTTGTGTAGGTGCTGGGGTTGGTGGTAGGCCTCAGTGGAGTCTACCTGCTGATGAACTACAGACAGAGAAGCTTATTTTTTTCTCACGCCTACATTACCCTGCCCGCTGTCTTCGCTCTCGCCAGTGCTGTGTTCCTGGTGGTCAGCGGTTGCCTCGGCTCCTGGCTGAGCCTCAGGGATTCCACCTTTCTGCAGGGATTGGTAAGATTCTGTGTGTGTGTGTGTGTGTGTGTGTGTGTGTGTGTGTGTGTGTGTGTGTGTGTGTGTGTGGCGTGCGTGTGTGTGTGTGTGTATCTATAAGTGCATCAGTATTTGGACTGTACATAATAAACTGTTTTCTTCTCCAGTTTGTTTATCTGCTAGTTTTGGTCATTTGTCTGGAGAGTACGGCTTCAGCGTTGGCCTATTTTCACTCTACAGAGGTATGCAAGTTACACAAAAATGAATGTGCACTGGGCAGTTTTTGCGTTTTCATGACACTGCAGATTATTATTATAAAATTGCATGTTGACGACCTTGTGTGTACTTCCTTTTGTTTAGCTGCATTCAGAGATAGCTCCTCTCAGTAGAGTGTTTCAGGGATACAAAGGCAGCAGCCAGGACCCCAACTCTCGAGCTGTTGATGCTACACAAGAAGAGGTGTGTGTTCTGTCATATAAGTCATGTGATTTGGGTCACATACCCCAAGCATGTTCATATCTGGTACGCAAAATGTGTAAAACAATAGGAGGGACATGAATACGAGCAAGTATTCAAGTGCCAGTTCAACGAAAAATTGAAATCTCCCATCTTCCCTTACTGGAAATAACAGTTGGCCCTCATTTGCTCCACATTATGAATGCAAACCTCAGGCCTCAAATCATCCTCAGGAGAAAAACCAAACCAAAATCATGTCTGTTGTGCTTCAAACTGAGATATTTTGGTTTGATTTTATTCTGATTAGATAGTGATAGGGTATCTTCTTGTTCGATTCCTGTTAGTTGCACTGTTGTGGTGTCCATGACTACAAGGATTGGCTGGAAACCTCCTGGTTTAACCGTACTGGAGGACTCTCGGTTCCGTCCAGCTGCTGCAACTCTACTTTCCGCTCCTGCAATGGCACTGTGGACCAACCATGGCAGCTTTACACACAGGTAGACATGTGAATCAAAAAAGCTCCAGGGTGGATGTTTAAACAGATCCCCTCTGTTTCTCTGTCTTTATTTTGAACGTCTCTCTCTTTCAGGGCTGCCAGGTGAAGCTGGAGATGGCGTTGCAGTTTGTGCTGAGCTTTATCTTCTGGAGCGCCCCAGTGGTTTTTGGGGTGGAGGTGCGTAAGACTGCACAACATTTTCAGATTCACACATCCAGCATAACAGGGCAACATTAGCATTTATTTGTCATGTTTCTGACCACCCAGTGAATTTAAGTCCAACATTGACTCCCCTTTTAGCTCCGTTTTTCTGAGGGAAATATCTGTCTCTTTGGCTGCTAAATGGTCCACTAATACGTTTGATGTTAGCCAGTTAGCGTACTATGGTTGCCACTAATTATATTTTATACACAGCACTCTTCATTACAAATTAACACTGACATTTTGATTAATTGCACTCTGAAGTACGGTGGCATTTAATTATTCGAATGAAAAAATTAATCAGTTAAGTTTCAGGAGTTCATTCATGAACTTTTTTTTAAATTTGGCAGTTAATCTTCCACTTTTCTTTCCTCTTATCATGCAGGTTGTTCTGTTTCTGGTGGTGGCACAGCTGATGAGGGACCAACTATTAATGCGAAATCAATATCAAGTACTGGATAAACACTAAAGACGCTGTGGGAAATGAGAGAGCTTCAAACAGATACGATAATACTGCATAGCATGTCAAATCACAGGGCGTAAATGTGCATCACATTTTAATTGGGATTGTTATTAGAATGGTTGTTCCTGTTGTTAATACAGCTTTATTCTATCCCATTACACAACATGTAACATAAAAGTGGTAAAAGATATTAATTATTGGTATTTAAGATGCCAAAAAGATAACAATAATTTCTGGGAAACTGGTTATTGCTTTAAATATACTGTTGCATGTCAGGTCAGTTCTTCATGATGTTTCACATCTTCTGTTTGGTGAATATGAGTTGCCATCAGGTTTAAGGTATAGGCCTTACCTACAGATCACCTTTTACTGTCTCTGTGATATTTTTAAATTTTATTTGTCTGAAATTGCCACAAGCAGCGAGTTAATTTCTGAATTTCTAAAACTAAAGCTAGTTTGTTTGCACTGTGCTGATATTACACTTGTATTGCATATGTCATAATCTTATATTTATATTTCCCTGTCTCATTCTGTATATACACTCATACATTGTACCTAAAATTAGAGTGTCTCTGCAAACATTACAATATACCAAGTATGTGTACTACATACCACACTGTACCTGAACCTGCACCTCAATACACTGATTAATCAGCATCTTGTTTAAGCTCTAGTCTTTGTTTTTATCATAATGGACACTTATGAAATAATTGTAGTGCTTCCAAAATGATTAGTTATCCTGTTGATTATCGCAAAATTGAATACTGAAATAATTGTTTTATCTTTCCTAAACTTATTAAAACCTAATATGTATTATAAGTATTGAAAAGTTAAAACTGAGCTTTATTATGTTTGGTGGTCAACTTGTAAGCAATTCCCATAAAAGCTGGAAAAGCAAACAGCACATCAGGGTAAACTCTATGACTAATACATTATTTATGTTGCAGCAAGCCTTTTTTCCCCACTGTACGCCTACAACACTGCATACAAGACCTAAATCATGTTGCTGCAGGAAAATAATGTCTGTTACAGCCATGTTTTATTCAAATTAATCAAAAGTTAATATCTCCAAGAAAAAAAAAAAGGAAACATTTTAAAATCCTGATGACATTATAATTCCTTACAAATTAAAAATGATCTATGGAGTTGCATCAAACTAATAGCACATTGTTATTACATGGGGAGGGTACAGCTCTGTGACAGCAACAGTCCGTGTTGACCCGCGGATCGTGTTGATGTGTTGACCACGCTGTCTCTCCTGCAGAGGCGTGGCTGGACGCGAGTGGGCGTGGCGGCACCGGTCACGTAGCTCCACCGTCTGTTTCTTTACTAACGTGAGGCCGACTTGGAGGGAAGGGAACGTCGCTAAGAAAAAGGAGCAAAAAATAAATAATAAAAAAAAAAAAAAAAACCCCCCCCCCTAAAAGCTGGTAAGGTCTTCCACGAAGCCTCTTAACTGTATACTTTGATATGTCGATGTTTGCTAAATGCGAATGCCATGCCTCTCTCCCGCGGCCCTTGCAGCCGGCTAACGTTAGCCTCCTGTGGCCTGTTAGCAGGCCGCTGTGGTTTAAGCGCGGGGACTGAAATGCGTTGATCCCACGCTCTCCAAAATAGGGTCTCGGTGCTCTTACGTTAGCTAGCCGGCAAAAGGTCGCCACGTCATTTAAGTCTTCTGTTTTTTTTAGTATGAGTGTTTGTGTGCACTGGGGTTTAGGGGTCGTAAACACAGCGCCCATGTTTTGTTGCCTGGCCTGTCTTGGACATATGTTTTTAAGGGTTGCCCTTGTTATCACAGAAGGGAGCGAGCATGGTGGCTTGTTAATGCTAGCAACGCTAAGTCAGGCCGCTGTACACGTTTCCAGATCAACCCCGTGAGTTGAAGCTGTAATAATAATAATAATAATAAAACAAAACAAGGCTGCACCGTTAAACGAGAGGTTGTGGTTGCAGGAGGCCACGTTAAGCGACGTCTGTTGTGTGTTAATGTTAGCCATCATCGCTGGAGCAGGGCTGTGGCGGTACCGTGAAGGAAATGTCGCCCATTTGTAGCACTGTGAAATATTGGACGCACATCACACTGTTTTCTGACAGCTGCTGTTTCAAGTATTTGCTGCTAAACAAGCTAGATTAAGGTTGCTCATTCAGAGAAAGCAGCGGATTTTTCTAATGTACCTGAGTTATTCATTCATTCATTCATTCATTCATTCATTCATTCAAATGCCCGACCCTCCAGTCACAACAGCTCCACTCCTTCCTAGACTAGTACTGGTGCTTAAAAACTGTAGGAGCACCATTGAATTGATTTTCATCACAACATACCCATGCGTTCTCCATTTTAATAGTTGGCCACCAATGTTTTAGTATGTATGTATGAATGAATGAATGAATGAATACAGAAAACGTATTGCTTTTATTGTTGCTGAGTCTTTGAGACATTAATGATGTGGACACAAGCTTACATCATTTGTTTTATTTCTGTTTTGTTTCATCTGGAGTTTCTTAATGTGGGCTGTGATCACACTGTGGTTGTGTCAGTGACACTTAATACAGCCTTAAAATGGGCAAATAAAATGTGGATGTACCTGGCTTCTCTCTTTATGTCTTGTTTTATCCCATCTGACTATTGTATGAGGCTGCCCACCTTGTTGACCTGTGCTGGCTGAAGCTACAATCCAGAAAAGTCCATACTGCAGATCATACAAACGAGTATTTGCTGTCAAGTTACATGCAGAATAATTTCCTGATAAACAGTTAATTGATTACAGAAGAGGTAGTGCCAGCTACCTACAGATATGGCTCATCAGTGCAGCAAGATGGTGAATGGAAAGCTCTCATGCTTCTAGTCAGCAAAGGAAATGCAATGAAATTGGGTAAACAGTCCCTTTTTATTGTAGTGTATGAGACATTTCCGCCGCCTGTCCGCTATCTTATCTGGATTGTTAAGCATATATTTCCTTTTTAATATCTTGTTCCTCAGACGGCAAGTTAGCCTTTGTGCTGACTGCCACATTGACAGTTTGACTTTTGTCTTCTCCCCACCCAGCCTCAGGAGCAGTGAAGTGTCTTCATGGCAGTTCGTCGAGGACACATTAAGTACTTGAAAGTGAGTATGAGATCTCAGCTCAACATTTCTACCGAGTATGACCGCATCAACTGATTGTTAACAGTACAATCGGATATTTTTCTTGTTGATGCCGTTGAACAACACACTCACTATAAAGTTGAACCTCATGCAGGAAATTGGACAGAGCATTATTATAAATTTGGACAAAAGATGTTATGACTGTACACAGTGATTTGTTATTATTTTGCTGGAACAAATGATTTAATATAAGCGAGATAGCGTTTATAGAAATAAAAAAACACACACGCCAGCTCCCACCGGCTATGTCCATGTTTACTGGTTTAATACAGGACTCTCATTCATACACTCAGGCGGTGTATCTTACCCACCAGAATACACAATCGCAACCCTTCTCTAGCATGAATGGACCTCTGTCAGGTTGACCGCTGGACTGGTTCCATTTTCAGGCCTGGACACGCTCTGCTGAACAGATAGCGGAAGCCACTTTTTAAAGTATTTTGAAACCAGGCACAATTCTAGTTGTGGCCACTTCACCTTAACTAATCCGAGACGCTGATTATCAGACTAGACTGCAGAGTTACTTGCCTACTTTGCAAATGTAAAACAAGTGTGTGTGGTCTTTATACTGCCTGGTATTCCATTGTATAAACTTGAACGTGGCTTAGTGTAAACCACTACATTGACACCTATTTGCAGCTTAAATCCAGTCACGTGCTTGTGTAATATAATTAGTTACCACTGTGTGACTTTGAACCTCAGTGAGAACCGGTAATTGCACTGCTTGGACACACTTTATCCCCATTTGACCAAAAAGTATTGTGAACTATGGACTATGGAGCCAAACTGGAAACTAAAGGTCCCTTTTGTACACTATTCTACCGTCCTATTTTAAGAACTGAAGATTCTGCAAATTAGAGAGCTCACTGTTTAAGTGGCGGCACTGTTTAAACAGAAACACGTGGAAACGACAACACATAGTCCTGTTGGGTTTTTTTTGTATTAGCTGTCATTTGATTATGGTGTTTGAGTTGGATCTAACAAATGAATAAAAATATATGCAGTGCTATGATTATATATTTCAGTTTCCATAAGCAATTCCTAAAACAAATAGTTTGATTTCTCATGTTTACTTGCTATGTTTACTTGCTTTGCTCACTCAATGCAGCTCCCTATCTCTCTCTCTCTTGTTAACTCAGGTTTATTGCCCATACACACACACACACACACACACACACTCACACACTCTTCCTCTTTCTTTCTCTTGCTCTTTAAAAAAATAAAAGATTTAGAGGCCTTCAACAAAGTCTGACTTTGTTTTTAACGTTAAGCAAAAAAAATCTCGTCGACATCTCGTCCTAAAGCTTTACTGCAGTACTTCTTTTTTTTATGAATGAAGCTGCACATAAGTTGGCCAGTCAGTCCTGCAGACTCATTAGTTCCTGAACCTTTTGAAAAGTAGGGACTTTTCACGCTTTTTGAGAAGATTCAGTCCACCAGTCAACTGATTATTCTATGTCCCTTTTTTAATGTTTGAGAGATTAACCACAAACAGACTCGTCTTTTGAAAGAGTAGAAATGGGGGGGGGCATCTTTTAATAATTAAAATATTCCAGACGGCATGCACATGTTGTGTTATTGTACTCACTGTATGCTCTAGTTTGTGTGTTATTGTGTCCCTGTCAGTGATGTAATGGGGTTGTTTGAGGTAGCAGGATAGAGGCGAGATCACGGAGGCCTGAAGAGTATAAATTATAGGAAGTCTATGGGACACTGATTGTTGATTCTATTTTGGCCACTGACCAGCTGGCTACTTTAATTTGAAAGTAATTTGTATTAAATTGATTTTTCTTTAGTGTCATTTCGTTATAGAGTTGACAGCCTTTAGGAACTTAATGGTCATTTTCAGTATCCATTAATCTATAACATCCCCATTATAGATTCCCAACATATTCAAATTGCTTGTTTGAATCAACAAACAGTCAAAAATCCAAACATAACATACATAAGAGGAAATATTAATTCGTCACACATTAAATGTTTGCCCTTTTTGCTTTTAAAAATGACAAACATGGTGGACGTTTCTGTTAATCGGCCAATCGTCACAGCTCTATCTCTATGTACTCGTGTGCTTACCTTGCTTTGTGTTTTTTCGGCCCACCTGGCTGACCTGCAGGAGGTGTATGACATGTCAAACGGTTATGAAGACCACATGGGAGGGGACGAGGGAAGGACGCCAAGACCAACCTGATAGTGAACTACCTGCCTCAGAGCATGACGCAGGACGAGCTGCGGAGCCTGTTCAGCAGCATCGGAGAGGTGGAGTCTGCCAAGCTGATTCGAGACAAAGTTGCAGGTATGATACACTCTAAAGCGATAAGACCTGTGACAGACCAGATCGACGCTTTTAACACGAGATTTTGTTTTAAATGGCAAAAGATTTGTGTTACAGACTTAAAAAAAAAAAGAAAAAAAGTGGCTACAACCTCTGAATATGTCAGTGGTGGTTCAGCTTAATGACTTCGCTCATTTTCAAATAACCTTGTCTTTATGGGGAGGATAATACTAAAGC